TTCCCGCAAGCGAGAGCCTGTCCTGTTGTTTCTCTAATTATCATTATTCAGCTAGTTTTTTTTTTTGTGTCTCAGTGCTTAGTGTTTGAATATCATGTTGGCATTGCACATTTTTCCTCGCTCCAGGTGCAGTAATGCGGTCAAGAATCCAGCATCGGACACGGCTGATGATGATATCCCGAAGAGCTTTAATGTCGAAGATATATGTGCTGTTGCTGACTCGGACCAACTAGAGTTTGTTACATTGCAAATCTGTGATACAAAAATTTGTTTAATTTCGAAGGATAATGTGGCCGCTCAATTAAAATTCAAAACTTAAATTTTTGATTTTCTGTCCACTGACAAGAATGTTCCTTTTATGAGATGGCTTAGCCAGCAGTTTTTTTTTTTGCACAGCAAACACATATTGGCTTCCCGCACCTTCTAACAATTTTGCTAAAAAATTCATTTATGTGTGCCGCGAGAATCACCTTTAAAAAAGACCTGGTGCTTAGTCAGGATCACAACGCGCTGCGCCCCGTCAATTCCCAATAACAGCAATATTATCGTGACTCATAAATATTTGTATAGTGACAGGTGCGTTGGGATAGAGGAATGGTCAAAGATTCAAATCAAAGATAGTAAAACTATCATTTTGAACTTTTACAAAATGTCCTTACCATAATCCTCGTAAAGTAGCGCGGCGACAATGAATGGCTGGCTAAAAAAGTGAACGATTCAAGAATTTCAGCGGCAACAAAAAGCAGCACTGAGATACCAGGTTATTTTATTTAAACTAAGAATTAGCACCATCCTGCAAAATTTGAAGAAAGGTGGGAAAGAGGCGAAACAGGGCAACCAAAATTTTTCTGTTTTAAAGAGAGAGAGAAAAGAGGCGGATGAGGGAAGAAGGCCACATTTCTCCTTAAAACGGTTGTATTTGAAGTTGTAAAAACCCGTCAAAATCGGTCTCGAAAACCATACTTGATTTATTTGGTTCTCAGCAAAAATGTTTCAGCTTTACATTTAACATGTGTACGATAATATCGACGCTTTCATGAGCCGTCCGGTCAGGGTTGTTGTTAGCATGATAGCCAACACGGACTTCTCGCTATTCTGAATTTTTTTAGCGATGATATATCGCTGCAGCGATTTTCACATGCAATCTATCAAATTTTGGATGATTTCTGTATCCTTATTTGCAAAATACTGGATTTGTCAAAAATGCATCCCGTAAGTGTATTAAAACCTAATCAGGTTTTAAAAATTTTGTTAGATGAGGAGTGGGCGATGGGGTCGAAGAAGGGGAGAGGGAGGGAGGGAAAGCAGTTGTGGGAGGAGGAGGACAAAGCAAAAGGACGAAGAACGACTTGTACTGATCCTAAAGTGTTCAGCAATAAAGCTTTGAAAAACAATATTTTTAAACTGCTAAATTTTTATGCCACTTGAACTAGATTCTTTTAGAAAATTTCTTGTGTTTCTGATCTCGAGTCAGTAACATAATCGACATTCATGTATAGTGCACTGCAACAAAAATGTGCGCTTAACTGCCAGAAAAAATTAGTTTTTGATACCAGTACGTGGAGCAAATTTAGCACAGCTAGGTCTCCTAAAAGCATTTGCGCATCGCCCGCGTTAATTTTTGTTTCTGATAAAATCTTATCACCGATTTTTTTGCTATCTCCTAACTGTGTGTTGTCCCACGCTACAATCAAAGGAGAGCGCATTTCCTTCTTTTATGTGCCAATAAAGCATATGTGCAAGCAAAGATCATATAATCTGGATAAAGTAAAATGCGCATTTTTAGTGATGTGTATACACCCACATACCACACAGATAAAAATAC